TATTGAAAAACCTCTATGCTTCACAGATGGCTTAATTTTCAGTGTATTTCCTTTTCTACTGCTAAAGACAAGGTCATTATGGAATGATACAGTTCTTTATTACCAATAAATGTTTTCTTATCTTTTCTGTGAATTTAAAGAGGTTTCTCAAGATGAGTCCATTTTAAAAGTAAAACCACTGTATATGCATATATTTGTGTAATTACACTAATAAAATGACTGGTAAAAGAAATGCTAACTATTTAGTGAAAGAATTTATTTGTAACATTGAAATAGCTCAAGTGTAGTCTTAGTAAAATCATTTGACAAAAAACATAGTGCTGAATGGCATTATGAATGACTACATTATGATTAGTTTTTCAGGTAAAATTATTATAATTTGTAGTATGACTTTTCATTATATTGGAAACATATGATGATGGTCTTGTGTATCTTCTCTTCCAGAATGGATGACCTGAGTGATTTCCTGAGACAAAGGAATATTCCAGAGGAAACTATGGAGACCATGCTGAGAGAGAAGGTACTAGCTGAAAAAAAAATCAGTATTTCAAAAACTACACATGCTCTTTAGAGCATGTGTCTAGCAATGTTATCTAATTTAATTCAAATCATTTGCATGCAATTATAATTCCATTTTTAAACAAATTATATGTTATTGTCCTTATTTAGATTGATACCAACGTCATGTAGCTCATGACAGATGAAGACTTATTTGCCATCATATGGAGACCACATAACCCTGTTAGGATACTGTAAAAAAAAAAAAAAAGCCCCCCCAAACAGTCGCAATCAAAGCTGTTTGAGCGCCTAAAATCAAAGCTGGGTAAAAGAAGAACTGCTCATGAAGAAAGAGTAATCTGAAACAACTGTAAAGAAGAATGCTCTGAAGTCAAAGAGAAAAATAGAAATATGCTGTTTTGTGCAGAACAGCTGTGGGTTTGTTTAAAGGTAGGTCATCAAAACTCAACAAAGCTTCTTAGCACTACTTTTCTAAAAATATGTACTATCAATGATTTGGAATCTGTAAAGACTTTTGCTGCAAAAAGCTGTGTTGTTAATACTTATCATTAGTATTAAGTACAAAATGTTTGTATTTAATACAAACATTTTGCTCTTTCCCTGGCCATTTTTTTTGTTATGAAATATGCAGCATTTAATGTCAATTACTTTATTATTGTTGCCAAAGAAATGTCTTATCGTAAGGAGTAGAGATATTCTACCAGACATGCAGAAGTTCTGCATTTTCAGATCTGTTAACTTTCAGGGGAGCAGTCAAAAATTCTCTCTGGAGAGCCATGATGCCAAACAATAAAATGTAGTTGACTTTTGTTTTGCCATTATTAATTGTTAGCTGACACAATAAATCATAAGAGGTAAAGTGAAAATGACTGTAGGAAATGTTTAGACGTTCACAGGCAGAACAAACAAAAATAGGAACTGTTTATTGTAACTTTTTATGAGACACAACTGTGTTGACTGTTGTATTTGTTACATTGCATTCATATTCATCAAATCATTTTCTGATTATTATTAATTTTTTCGTTTTTACACATTGGATTTCTTTTGTGGAAGGTTATAAAAAGGGTCTTTTTGTTTTACTGGGCACAACTTGGTATATTCCTTTATCTTAAGTGGACTATGCAACAAGGAGAGTTTTTTTTAAGGACTTGTGATTTATTTGTGGGAATGTCAAAATAATGGATTGTTCTTTGTTGGCAGAATGCAAAAATAAATACATTCTGAACAAAGTGTACAGTCTGTTTATGATTTGCTGTTGCACTGTAAATAAACTGGTAGCCAATAATAGTGAAAAACACTGAAATATATATGTCAAGAGTAATGACAGCATTTGAAGGAAAACTGTCACAAATGGTTGTCTGTTAGTAATAACATGATTAAAACTTTGCTTGTACATGTAACACCCCTGTTCATATATCAACAGTTTCCCTGAACAAGTAAGTCTAAGAAAACGGAGAACCTGAAAATGTTTACACTATTCAGTTATGTTTTGAACTTGACACTACTATTTTGCAATAATAAATAAGATTAAATACATAGAAATTAATAAATTGACCAGAAATAGATAGATTGAAGGAAACTAAAATATATTAGTGTTTTTAAGTATACCATAGAAACAAATTTTAACTAACTCATGCAATTTAGTTTTACATTCACAAAGTGTTTATCCAGGACATACTGAAATAATATCTGACTTGTTAGATGTTTTGTGGACCTGAATGATTTAGAGAAACTATTCCCCCAGCCCATCTCATTATTTTGAGATACTATCTCATTATAATGAGATAATTTATTTTATTTTTTTAACAGAGTGGTGGGAACGGGCTTCCATACATTAGCACTTTCTTCTTTGATTTCCAATTTTGACTTCCAATGATTCACTTCCTGCTAAAGAGCCCCCTCGTGGTTGAAGAAAAATCCACAGAAAAGCCGCACCGGGGTATAAACTGCATGGTTCCGGCTTATAGTCCGAAAAATACGTTATTAGTAAACTTGAAATGAAACAAAACTAACTCATAAGAAGCCTTTCAGCAAAATATAAAACCTATTTGAATAAATAATTAATTAATATTGACAAAAAATATTTGTTCCTTTGGTATATTTTTCCACCTATAATACTTGTAAGATAGCTTTGTGTTATTTCAAGTGCACTAAGATATTTTCCCTACAATTTAGACCAAAATTACTTGGTACAATTTTATGTTTTCGCAGGTGTAACTGGACACTTGTAAGATATTTTTTGCTTCAAACCACTCAAAATCCTATATTCACTTTCTTTACCCTAGTTGTGAACTATTTTCTGTTGAACTATAATCATTTTTAACTGCTTTGAGCTATGTGGTTGTAAAATGACTAAATGTTAAAATGTTCAATGGATATGGTAAACTTGGATAAGCCACTATAAAAGTGACTTAAGTAGAAGGAGTCAACACAAAAGTGCTATGGGAATGATTAATTCATGATTGTATTGTGTGTCTGCTTGATTAAGCTTGTTTTAAGGAGTGAATATGAATATGGAATTTAACTCTTAATAAGAAGTTCTGTGATTTAAGTGTAAACATGACATTGGCGTCAATAGAATGTCTGGCTTTTAAAAAACCAAAGGTCATAGCCAAAGGTCAAATATCATATGCCTGTCTCCTCACCTTGCAGTCATCACAGTGTTCAGACTTGTCTCCTTCTTCACAGGGACATTTATCACAGCTGTCACAGTGCTGGAAGAAAGATCAGCAGTTAGGAAGCAGCTGCAGGGTATGTAAATACCTGTACATTGGGATATTTATTTATTATATATTGTCCCACACTGACATGATTTTTGTCATTTAGACATACCTGACAGAATTCACAATATGAGCACAGAGAGCCTTTGTGATAAGTATGCTCATCATCATCTGAAAAGATAGAAAAAAACATCTGGCTTGGAAAATTTGAGAATGATAATTCTTTTGATTCAGGATCTAGACACTCATCAAAGCTCATGCACCTTAAGCAAAAAATAGAGTTAAGTGTGCACAGTATGATTTATTTGAGCTAGTCTTCTTACCTTTTAAAAAATAGTGACACTGACATTTGAATAGCCCACATATTTTAAAAAAGGTAGAGGCCTGAAACATCCCAAAAACTTCCATTATTCTTATTTATCCATTCCCAAACAAACTTGCATGTGTATTTTTGGTTTGTTGGAATACCAAACCATGCTCAAATTTCACCCATCTAGCTGCTGATTTGGAATGAAGGTGACAAACTCAGAGTCCTTCTTGTTGCTTATTTCATACACTTTATGAAATGCACCCTTGCTGTTAAAACAGGACATTATCAAACTTCCTGTCATGGACCTTGTCATTGTGGTGAAAAGCAAAAATTCCGTCTCATCTGACATACACCTTATCTCCAGAGGACATTTGGATTGCCTACGTGAGCAGCCAGAGATTTCGTAAAGATGCTTATTTTCCTTTTTTCACAGCATGATCTCAGTCCATGTTAATATGAAATGTCCCTTAACTTTTGACAGTGACATAGGTGTTTCAGAAATTTTCAGTTTGTGACAAACTTGCTCCTTGATGGTCCATGAGTTAGTTTTGAACATTCAAACTAATTTCCTTTCATTTGAGGTTGACAGATTGAGCAAGATGGTTACAACTTGGACACGACTTTCAGTTGTAATATAATTGCCAACACAAAAACTGTAATTTCTGCAGTTATTTCAATATGAAATATGAAACAAAAATGGATATTAATCATTGTCCATCATCTGTCTGTCCACTACATTTAGAACTGCTGTAACCTGCAAAACTATGCATTTACTGCTCATGTCTTACAGATTATTGTCAAAACAATACTCACTGACTCAGATGTCCCGTGTCCATGAGCCTGGTCCTCACACAGACAAAATAGATTTTTGTGCAGATCTGGGATGAATCATGCTCTCCATGCAGCTATGCAGCCCAAATTCAAAGCCCCATTGGTAACGGATTTGCGCTGAAGCAGTTTGTGATCATTTGATTTATTGAATGGATGAAACAAGGGTTAAAGAAATGTGGACAGACATGTTTTCTACATGATATTTAACATATCACATCTTTTCTTTACCAAAGAAGAGACAACCCTGACATCTCTTTACAATTTGATAAAAAAACAAAAACAAAAAAAAACAACATAACTGTTGTTTCTCTCTTTTCCCAAAAACTCATTTCCTGAAAAATCATCAGCAAAATACTGCGGTAACATTTTACAACAAAGAAATTCAGATTCTGAACTCACTTGTCCTTAATGTTTAAATGAAGATAAATCGGTGTAAAATATGCTCCTAATAGCAAGGGGTTACAAGCATTACTCTGAAAAAAGACTGAATTTAATGCTTTGAAAGCCTTGATTCTGAAAAACAGCATTTTAGAAAATGAAATGAGGTACACCTTAACAGTGAACACAGACATATTGAGCAAAGTTCTTGTTTCCTGTAATTAGCAGTTTGACATATACACACAGCAGAGTTGAAAATGAAATTCAGTGCATTATATGCCTCCTTAATGGTCAGCAGCATAAATGCTCCACAGAGAAAGAAAGAGACTACAAGATATGGGGAAAGAGAGAAACTTTAAGATCTGACAATAATTAAACTTGTAAATAAATAAATTTAGGTATTGGCCCTCCTGCACCTCCCCTCGCGCTTTATTCTCCTGTCTGTCTGTCTGTCTGTCTGTCTGTCTATCACCCCCATCTCACTCCCTATATCACTGTCTCTCTTTCTTTCTCTGCAGATTCACATAAAGACACAGATACATGTCAGTCTGATCCAAAACAAAAGAGAAAGGATGAACCATGTTTTCAAATGAAACACAAATCAAAAAATCTCAGACTAGTGACCCCCAATGACTGAATTCCAAGACGGGCTTGGCTTGTGGAATTGGTTTTTGGTTCTTTCTCTCTCTCTCTCTCTCTCTCTCTCTCTCTCTCTCAAATCATTGCTTCTGCAGTCCTCAAGTTCATATCTAGCGTACTGTACGAAGGACCTCGGACAGTTGGACTTCAGATGGGCCAGTTCAATTTCCCCAGACTGCTCATAACTCTAGTTAAGCAGGGAAAGAGAACAGAGTGTCAGAGACAGCAAGGAAAATGGACAGCTGAAAGGGGTGGAGGAGGGACTGATTACCAATGAGTTCTGAGATATGAGATAATACAAATCGACAGAGATGATGAGGTTGTAAGAATGTTATGGAAAAGGGAGGGGCTAATTCTGGTCTTAGCCACTCCCCTTTGATTTTAGTCCTGTAACATACTGTTTTAGTGAACAGTTTTATGTAATCTTATCACTGACTGTAATATCAGCCACTGCTGACAAACTTTCAATATGTTGATGAAAGTGAGTAAAATGTCTTCGTATCAGGATGTGCAATTTGAAAAACTAGTCAATTCCTGACAGGAAAAATTGTAGACTTTAATTTAGAAGTCAGCAGTGTCTGATGCTCCAGTTGCACCCACCCTGCAATGTGCTGCAGGTCAAAGTAAAAACACAAAGGCATGTGACAACACAAACAACAGCATCTACACAGACTTACCTTCGTGACTGTCATCATCGTCATCATCGTCATCATCATCATCATCGTCATCATCGTCGTCATCGTCATCATCATCATCGTCATCATCATCGTCGTCATCGTCGTCATCGTCGTCGTCATCATCATCGTCGTCATCATCATCGTCGTCATCATCATCGTCGTCGTCGTCATCGTCGTCATCATCATCGTCGTCATCATCATCGTCATCATCGTCGTCGTCGTCATCATCGTCATCATCGTCGTCGTCGTCGTCATCATCATCATCGTCGTCATCATCATCGTCATCATCATCGTCGTCGTCAGCCATTAGACCCTCCTCAGAGTGGAATGGCAGATCTTGGGCCTTTGCAGTGGGTGCCAGTGGGGTGTGGAAGGAGCAGAGTAGTGCAAGCAGCATTGCAAGGATCAAACTTCTTAATGAGGCCATGTTTGCAGCCAAGATTTAGTCAACTAAAGTGGAAATAACCTGGAATCACTGCAGGAGTCCAGTACTGCAGCTTCAGTAACTGCCTACCCAAAACACACACAGGCTGAAGGACTCAACCCCAGTCAGAGTTACACAGTCATTAATGGACCCAAGTACTGAGCATCCAGAAATTTAAGGTCCTGTCCAGAGGTTATAGATCCAGTTTAGATCTAGATACTTGCTCCAATGTCCTGAAAAGAATATCCCAGAGAAAGCAGGAGATTAGTCTTGAATCTGGGGTCACCTAAAGACCCACTTTCTTTTAGTCCAGTGTAGTATGTAAACTGAATTAAGACTGCTGTAATACTCTGAGCAGAGAGCCGTCAGTAACTGGTCTATGATGGAAGCACAGACAAGACTAATCTGAGAGCGACAGAAAAAGAAGTAAGCTGAGAAGAAGGGGGGCAGTCACACTGACTGACAGGGGCAAATGCTTGTGGGCAGGCCTGTGCTATCCACAAGTAAAGATACCAGGGGAAGAGGGAGTGGTTGATGGTGGGTATGAGGAATAAGTAGACCACACTTGGTTTTTTATTATTGTCAAATGTTAAGGTTTACTGAAGAGAGTTCCATTGCAAAAGAACAATTACTTTAGGTGACAATGACTTGCTTTAAGAGGGAGCAACTACCCATTTAGACACCGAGCTGTGTGTAGTTTCTAGTTTTAGTGTCATTGTCTGGTATTCTTGTTGTGTTAGGTATCTCTGTAAGATCTTGTTAAAGTTTTGCAGCAGTTTGTTTAAATTCATGTTCTTAGAATATTAACACCAGCTGTACCTGTTTGCCTGCATTAGTCCTTTCAGTTTATCAATTCTTGGAATTCTAGGGTGTTTCTCTAAAGATGCACAAGATTTTAAGAGACTGGATGCCAATAACAGCGGAATCCAACACATAATTGATTTTATTATATAAGGAGATATAATAAAATCATTTTTTGTGTTCACTGGCCATATAGTAATTTTCTTATTTAATAAAAGTTACCCTTCTGCCTGCAGCAGCAATCTGTTACTAAACATTGTTTGTATTCTACATTTAATACTTAATACAACTTAATTCCTAGAGCCATGGACCAGAGACATTTTATGATCTAATGGGAAGACAGCCGTTTAAACATCCATGGTCCTAAGGGGATAAATCCATGTGGTTTTAATGACTCTTAGGCCTTTCGTTACCCTGGCTAAATCATGATTTAATATGTAATGTTATCATGGATTGTAATGAACATTTCGGTCAAAATCTTGGCACTGCCACAGACACTGATAGAGTATGAGAAATAAAAAAAAAAGTTTTGACGTAGAATGGGGCATGGTGACAATAACTAAACCTGTTTGAATTAATTATGTCTCATAAATCCAGTATTTCAGAATCTGCTGACAAAGCCATTAAGAAGCTTCTTTGCCAATCAAGACACTGATCCTCAACTCATCTTCTTTTTTCCCTCCACTCCCTACATGCTATCCCCAAAATAGAGTGATTTGTAAAGGGAGGAGTTGAAAACTGCTCTATTTAAAACTCTACACGGTCAGAGTCAGTGTAATGTGAGCAGCCTGGCTCTGTCTGACAGACCAACACAATTTTACCCACCTTCTTTCAATTCTCACTTCCACATGCAGGAAAAAGAGGCTGGTGACAAGAACATCTGAGACACCTCCTTATCCTTTTTAACAAAAAATGAAGAAATACCGCTTTCCTCTGTGTTTGCATCATGAAGAAAACAAATAATTATTTTCAGCATTTTGAGTGAAACAAAGCTAAAATTCTACCAGATGATTTTTTGTTTTTTAATAAATGTGTTTGCAACGTTTTGTCAAAAAGGATTAAGTTTGGGTGAGTTTATGATCCATGATGAAGAGGTCAAGCTGGTACTTAGATAAAACAAACCTTAAGGTTCTATGACAGCAGATCTAAGTGAAATTAAAATATCAATGTCAGCTGTCAATCCAGTGCTGACCAGTTTGTATCAGAGACAGAGGAAGTAAGCCCATTAACTCAAATATTTGAGTTTATGTCAAATGTAATATTTTTTTTAAATTACATTTGATATAATCTCTATTATCAGTTAAAATTTCAGGTTTAAATAGTATTTGACCAGTATTTAGATGATTAAAGCAGAAGAAATGACTTTTTAATTTCAATTCTTGTAATATTGGAATTTCTAATAGTGAAATGTTAGTGGCAGCAGGAACAGCTGAGTTCGACCTAGCTGAGGGCAGAACGAGAGAGGAGATCAGGTCAAGATGAAGACTGCAACGTGGCTGAAAGTGGAGAAGAGCTGATAGATGCCAAAGGCATTTCTTCTTTCTTAGCTTGAACCAGAAGCATGTACACTCTGACCCCCAAAGCCCGTTTAGTTAACTGCATATTCTAACATCTGCTAATGAAAAGCTTTCAGTTATCATCACATTAGAACATTAACTGATATATATCAGGGTGTTTGACTGATTCTGAAGTAAGATGCTATAAAAAGTGAAAAGTGGAGAGGTTAACAGCACAAAATGTTAATATCTGGTTTGAATAAAAAAAAAAGGTGTTGGAAAGGCTGGTCTGTGGTGAAGACATGACAGTGACTGCCCTGCATCAGCACATTCATTAATCAAATCCGAAATTCCCCAGCAGGATTTGTGTTCCTCTCCAAATTGAATCCAGTGCCAAATTCATCCCAAACTCTTCCCATGTAAGGACTGTCTAAAGAGGGAAATCACTTTCCAAGATACAGTTACCCAAGGGGTGTGGTGTTTGTCTCTCTCTCTCTCTGTGTGTGTGTGTCTGGGCATGTGGTGGAGGTGATGCAGGGGTAAGCAATAATCTAAATGCTTTATAATGCTGTTCCAAAGATTCATCTCATATTTTTATTTAGGTTTATTCAATTCAGTGTTAATGGACTGTGCTATTAGGGTACACTGGGAAAACATGTATTGTTGGGGCAATGGTGATAGGAGTTAGTCCCACAGTCACTGAGTTGCTAGCTCAATCCATGCTCCAGCCACTTCTGTTGTGTCTTTTAGCAAGACACTGTGCTTGCTGGTGGTGGCCAGAGGGTCTTGTGGTGCCGGTGCATGGCAGCCTTGCCTCCGTCAGTGTGCCCCATTGTGGGTACACCACAAATGAACTGAACTGAAAAAGAATCTAAAACAAAAGTCCAGAAAATCTCATTGAATGATTTGCATTCTATTGCATAAAATAAGTATTTATTGGAATGGAAAAATATAACTCAATATTAGGTAAAACCTAATATTGCTTATGTGGCCAGTAGGGGGTAAGATTCTTTAAAAAGTTATATATAAAATACAGTGACATGAGGTGAGGTTAGGGTGGCAGAACAATCCGTTAACTCAACGAAACTTGGAAATGTAAGTATTACTAATTTAATGCTATGTTCCACACAAAAAGGGAAAACCCGTTGAAGTACAACTCAAAAACACTTCTTTCTCGCTCTGTGCATCGGCCGAGCTACACACAGACTCTGCCATAACAACTGACACCAACACCACTTTATGTTTATGTGACGATCTGTTTTCTGTGTAGTTATTTTTGAGGTTTTTCTGTGTTTTAGTTCTGTTTCCCCTGTGAGTCTCTGTGTCTTCCCTGTTGATTGCTCCCAGCTATGTCCAGTTCCCTGATTACCTTCCCTGTGTATTTAACCCCATCTGTTCTCTCTGTCCTTCGTCGGGTCCTCGTCGTACGTCACCGTGTCGTGAGTCTGCTCTCTGGTTTTTGGATTAATCATTAAATCATCATTTACATCATGTCTACCTGGGCCTGCCAGCGTCTTCCTCACCAACAACAATACCACATCATGACAGTTTAAGGATTCAACACCAAAAAACACTAAAATATTTCTCACACAAAGAGCAAAACATTCAGTCTGTTGCTGCAGTATTGTGTTTTTAGGCTTAATGTGTTGTGGTGGTAATAAAGAGTCGTTGACTTTGCTGATATCTTGGTTTAATAATAACCGATAGCATACAGAGCAGTAATGCATGGAGACAAACCCCAGTGCCAACATAGACACAATGTAAGAGTAGACCCCGCATTGACTGCTCCGTTGCAGGAAATACGGCGGCCATCTTGGAGCGGTCGTCCCTCCTACTTTGCTCAACCAAAACAGCAGAAGATGCCTCAGCACTGAGGGATATTGTTGTTCGCATTGATGGACTATTGATGTGAGGGCTCAACTAGGATTGCCACCCGTCCCTTAAAAATCGGAATCGTCCCGTATTTGGCTGTTAAATATTGCGTCCTGTATTGAACCGATACGGGATGCGATATAAATGTATTTATATAAATGTCAGACATGCCTATCACACACACAAACACTAAGTTTAACAATAATGACCAAAATAAAACACAGGAAGTATTAAGGTCAGCTAAATTCTTGTTGTAGGCATAGACATAAATACGTAGACGCCTCCTGGAGCGGGTCGGCCCGTTGCTGCGATACGTAACAGCGTCCGCCATATTGAATGTGGAATATGTGCCAGTAAGCTAATACAGGTAAAAGCACCGAACTTCACAAAGTGCCGTTCTACAAAGTATTTTAAATTAATACCTGTCATTGACACATTTTCTCACACATTAATATTTTTGGCAATCAAAGAAATGACTAAAGACAGAATTTCTAACTTTTGATGTGATTATTTAATTGTTTTGGGGCATTTCTGAATAAAGAGCACAATGTTTTTATTTGATAGCAATGATTCTGATCATTTTTATATTGACATTGATGAACAGACACACTTTTACAGTTTTAATTAAAGAACATATTTATTCCATAATTTA